AGATTTTGCCTTAGAAAGTCTAAGCTTGGCCTCCCAAAAAAGAAAGAACCTACCAAGGCCCTGGAAAATCTGCTGGCTAAAAGGTTAACTTCTTCCTGTGTGAAAGACACGCAGGGAAGGCCTTTTAGCTTTTCAACCGGAGAGGCATGAGTATGAATTTCAATTACCTGTTGTGAGGTTGCAATGGTTGCTGCTGCGTAGCTTTTCCTTTATGGTGGATATGGTGTGAAGGAAGGTTTTTGAGCATGAATTGTTGATGGAGAGTTGGCTTTTTTTGCAGGTTGCTGGTTGCTGGTTGAAGGAGGATGTGTTGGTGGCTTGGAAGTAGAGGAAGGCTGGCCGGAGTTTCCCCCGGAGGAGCTCGCCGGCATGGTGTAAAGAGGCTCCGCTGCTAAGAGAGAGAAATATATATATATATATATATATATATATATATATATATATATATATATAGATTTTGGATCATGTGAGAATGCAATCTTATGAAAGAAATAAGAATGAATCTGGTGCTTTAGATTGTGAGATCTAAGGGTCAAGATTGCATCAAAACTAGGTGCACCAAAATGATTTGAAAATGCATCATGTCGAAATGCACCAAAATCCTTTAAAAATGCACTATCTCAAAATCTGAGTGCAGGATGCAATCTGAGCCGCACGATGCATCAGATCCAAAGGCTAGATTTTATTCTTATTTCTTTCACCAAGGTGCATTCTCACCTGAACCGCCCCCTATATATATATATACACATATATATATATACATATATATATATATATATATATATATATATATATTACATACAACCCTCAGGTGGACAATTCTCCTGGAGTGGGACACGAAGTAAAGGGAAAGTTTGGCGCAGATTGGACCACGTTTTCAGCAATCAGCAAATGGTGGACAGTGTCAACAACTTACATCTCTCAATGCTGAGTAAGGGTGCTTCGGATCACAGGCCTCTTCTATTGGAACTTGCTGTTAATTCTTATAATGGCCCCAAACCTTTTCGTTTCCTGGACATGTGGGTATCACACCACACCTTGGAAGGCACAATCAGGTCTTTCTGGGAGGATAACAAAACATTCAATGGCATGTCAGGACTTGGGCAGAAACTCAAAGCACTCAGGTCTATTCTGACCAAATGGAGCAAGGAAGAATTTGGTCATGTTTTTCATAACCTTAAGGAGGCTGAGTCCAATGCTAAGAGGGCTCAGGACTCTTTTGAGGCTAACCCAAACCCAGAATCCTTGGTTGAGTTTAACAAGGCCAATGCGCAGCTACTCCTACTCTCCAAAAGAGAAACAGAATTCTGGCGGCAAAAATCCAGCATCAAATGGTTAAAGGAAGGTGATGCTAGTACCAAATTTTTCCATAATGTTGTTAAAAATAGGCGTCAAAAAATTCACATATCATCAATCAAGGATGAACTTGGGAAGATATACGAGGGAGACAACAACATTGCATCTCATGCCATAACATACTACACCAACATATATTCTCCAGAGCCAGTATGTGATGACAATCTGTTGTTTTCTTATATACCCAACCTCATTGGAGAAGAGGATAACAATATGATTTGCACCATCCCACTTGAAGAGGAAATTAGAGGTGCGGTCTGGGACCTCAATGCCAATAGCGCACCCGGGCCAGATGGATACAATGGGACTTTTTTCAAAACTTTCTGGCACATTATAAGGGATGAAGTCGGTAGAGCAACTCAGGAATTTTTCTTGGGACTGCCAATACCTAAATCCTATGGGGCCACTCTCCTCACGCTGATTCCAAAGGTGGAAAACCCTAAAACCCTAGGAGATTTCAGACCAATATCTCTTTCCACATTCCTCTCTAAAATCAATACCAAGATATTGGCCAATAGACTGGGTTGTCTTCTCCATAAACTCATCAGTCCTGAACAAAGTGGGTTCCAAGCAGGTAAAGGGGTGGATGAAAACATACTCCTCACCCAAGAGATGATCCATTGTCTAGACAATGCATCTGGTAATGCCAACATTGCTATCAAGGTGGATTTTGCCAAGGCTTTTGACAGAATCTCCTGGGAGTTTCTTGAGAAAGTTCTCAGCTCCTTTGGCTTCTCTCACCAATCTAGTAAACTGCTCTTATCTACTCTTAAGGCAACTTTCTTCTCCATCCTCATTAATGGATCACCACACGGTTTCTTCAGGATGATGAGAGGGGTCAAACAAGGAGACCCCCTCTCCCCCCTCCTCTTCATTATTGGAAATGAAGGTTTAAGTAGGTTGATCAAGGCTAAGATTCAGGAGGGCTTCCTGAAAACCATATCCACAGGGAGAAATAGGCCTCCCTCACACCTAGCCTATGCGGATGACATTATTTTCTTCCTGAATGGACATTTCAGAAATCTTCTCAGATTCAAAGGGCTCTTAGACTGTTTCCTTAAAGCATCAGGCCACCTCATCAACCTCAACAAGAGTCACTTCTACACAGGATCAAAGGTGAAGCCAGATATCAAAAGCAACATGCGAAGAGCTCTCAAAATGGAAGAAGGCAAGCTCCCATTCGTATACTTGGGGGCAACAATTGGCAAAGGGAAGATTAAAAAAGAAGATTGCATGAAGATTATATTACACTTTGATGCCTACCTTAACACTTGGCATAGCAAGGTTCTAAACCAAATGGGGCGCCTGATTCTCATTAAACATGTTTTAAGCTCTATTCCTTTACATATTGTTGCTGTCCAACAGATGCCAAAGTCAGTCCACAACTTATTAAACAAGAAGATGCAAAATTTCCTTTGGGGGTACATAGATGGAAGGCCAAAGTACCACTGGAAATCCTGGAGAAGTTTATGCTACCCAAAGTACGAGGGAGGGTTGGGCATCAGGCACCTGGAAGATGTTGAAGCTGCCTACTCGGCCAAAATATGGTGGAAGATTAGAAACTCCCACGGCATATGGGGAGATTACATGAGGAGCAAATACCGTCCTGCCTCATTTCAAGAATGCCCTACGGATACAGTGACTTGGAAGAGGGCTGCACGAATTCATACCTGGGCTATTCAGCACGTCCACAACACAGATGATGCCGAAACATGGGAGGGAGAACCTTTCACCACCAAGATTGCTTATCACTCCTGGAGGGAATCCAAACCTACTTCTCTCGTTAGCAAGATGGTTTGGAACAAACTGCAGATCCCAAAGATCAGTCTCTTCATGTGGAAAGCTCTCAACTCCATTCTCCCATTCCCGGAAAATCTAGCCAGATTCAACC